ACCGTGCCTTGTCGAACAGGGGGAAAGAAAGAACGACAACAATAAAACAATCACACAAATTCGAGGAAGAGAAATCTTGGAAAAAGGGCTACATCGCTAAAAAAGCTTTTCGTTAACTGCTTAATTACAACATTATGGGACCACCGAACACCGTTAGATTCGCTGCCACATTTAGCTTTACGTTACCACGTCCGCCCCTGATCTTATATCCTCCCTCTGCGTTAGCCGCAAGTATGGTCACAGAAGGAGCACTCAAAATAGATCAACTAAAAACAATGAGCAAAAAAATGCCTATGTTGATCACCTCCGCGGTTCATTAAGGTCGATGATGATAAAGTTCGAAATTTGCACAACCACCCACGATCAGGTACGAAGCTAAAGCTGTGCTGCACAATAGAATAAGCTATTTTTTACCATACTCTAGGACCACAGAAGCAACTAACTAAGTTACAAACCGATATCCGCTTATTCACAAGCGAAGTGAAAATCCATCATCGATCCCTGGTTTTAACAGGATGTATCGCCATTACCAATACTTTCACGTATTAACCAACTTGAAAGTATATCCGGATCGGGTGCCTGAGCTTAAAAACAGGAGCTGCATTAATATTTACAAGGTCATTTGGAAAATTTTTTACAATACATGCTAATTTAGCTCCTCATATTTTACGTAAGTACGTCAAAACGTTGAAAACCCTCAAGGCTTATAAAGGGGTTTTGCAAGTATTATCTGCTGAAGGCAAAAGTGATATCAAAAATTGGGACCAAGATAGCGGAGTGGTAAACAGCTCTTACTTTAATGGCTTTGCTATTGCTTTCGCTATTTTTTGTCCTAAACTAGAAATCACAGATCTAAATCTTTAGAAAAACCTAGCTCACAATAAGGGTGCCTGAACCAAAATGAACAAAAGAAACTCCCAAAAATGTTCCAATAATGTCATCCAAATACTTATGTAGACTATGCTCAGCTGTGACTAAGCACAGTTTAATAAAGTTCAGTTTTCAGTACTTACATGGCGATAAACCTTGGATGCGAGGAATAGGCAATTGAAAAAGAGTGTAAAATGTGATATCCGGTTCAGAAACAAGATGATCAACAGATATAAGGACATGAATCAGAAAATTTTCAAACCGGCCAAAAAACCACACTTCCTGGCTCACGAATAATCATCGAAACACAACCTTGTGTTCAACAGGAAGTAAATGGAACGAAGTAAGGAGCAATCAGGGATAAAGACTTTCACACAAGACAGGAATACATGAGAAATGAATCGCAATTCGCATGGAAAGATGAATTTCACGACCCAGTGCGCTGGCAAGGCTCCAGTGTAACACCACTGACGACGGAGATTCGTTGTGGGACCTCCACTCAGACGTTGGTGCGCGTGCTGTCTCGAGTGGGCGGGACATGGCGGCTTCTAGTATTCCCGCCGCCCCTGCACATCAATAGCGGCGAGTGGCGAATTAATGCTGTACGTGCTGTATCGTCGTTCAACGGTATTCCGTGGATTGTGGTAGTTCTGCTGGTTTGATTCTTTGTCATAATAGTAGTGAATCCCCGTACGATTCCGTCAGCAAACATGTCGGGAGCATCGCCAAGGAAATTCGCTGAAAAAATCGCTATTATGAATCGGAAGCAAAGTGAAGACGTTAACACCTTTGACAGCATAATGCGTGAGGTACGTCAAATTACCAGTACCGAAACGCAAGCGATTCCATCTCCATCGACGTCTTTGCATCCACCACAATGGAATCAACTTGGTGGCTCGCTACCGAATGTCCACCAAATGCCCTCATACCACCCAGATTGGGGTAGTACTGGTTGGCCCATGGAAGTCCAGTCTACGTACCATCGAAGTCGATCCCCGGATCAGCAGCATCCAATGCTCTATCATCCTTATGGAGGACGTGGGCAACGTTCACCTGATCGAGTTCCACCGCTTGATCCACACCATGTGCCCTATCCGAATCCACAGCATCAGTATCTTGCTCCTGACCAGTGGAATCAGTGAGTTTCTTAAATCTTTTGTTTCAACATTTTTGTCACAGTTTGGTTTAATTTTTCTCAGGCGCACATATTTGTTTTGTTTGTATTTTTCCTAGTGGGGATGGAGTAACCCCACGCGTTTCCTGTTTATACGGAGTTAGACGAGCGTGTTGTTTCTCAGTGGCACGAGCAGTCCTTGCTATATATACCGATTCATGTTCAGATCTATTACAAGAGTTTTTTACTTTTATTTTTCGACCAGGAAACTTGGACGGACTACACATTGTACCCGAAACTTTCAATGCTATTACTTATTATTATTACAAAATGAATACTAATGGTTTTGGTTTTCTTTTTTCAAACAGCTTATCCGAGGCCAATAATAACCTGTGTGGTAGTCGTTTAGGGTAAACAGGCTAGCTACCTTCGACAAAAGCTGTGAAGGACTCTCAATGTTTTTTGTTTGTTGTCTTCATCAGAATTTTGTGATAAGGGCAATTCGTTCTTTCATTTTCTCCTTATTTTTTTTCTCTCAAAACGACAGTTCAGTTTCAAGCATATCTCACAAATTTTCATTTTTTAAATGATGGAACCCGTGGCTTCTAGTTAATTTGGGATAGCATTTTTAATGTTAGTCAAGTGCTTAGCTCTTGATGTTATCCTCCATCTACTCGAAATTAATTTCACAATTGAAAGCGATGTTTTATGTTATCTTGAATTCCAGAGAAATAATATTTTAGCCCCATTTTCCACTCTAAATAATCAGAGATTAGAAACTTCATCGGAGAAATATATTGTTTTCAATATTATTTTTTGAAACTTTCTGTCCTTTGCCTAAAATTGTCTTCTGATGGAATATGCCGTTTTCAAACGACATCTTCTGATTGAGGTTTTGTTGCCGTCCGTTTTTAGGTGATAGGAGCCGAAAGATCACGCTGAGCTTTTCACCACGAGAACCTGCTAATCGTTTAGTACGACCTCTCTTGAAGTCTTCTACTTGTGAATATGATCGTTGTGATTATTTATGAAAGGCTGAAACCTTAGTTGCTAAAAATAGGCTAGTGCTTTCTTGTTCTTTTCCTAATTGGTTTTCGGTTTTCCTAACTGATCTAGCAGTTTTGCCTCTATGTTAGTCGTGATCATTGATCAACGATACCTGCCACTAATCGACCTACAGGTATGAGCGGGTCTTCCCTCAGAGTATGTTCGTTTTCTCTCGTTTGTGTGAAGGAGAGGCCTCTCATTGTCAGTGGATGTTGCACTTTGCGGAGTTCGCGGCATCGATTTTCCATGTTTTTCACTGGACATTGTGTCCAACTGCCGAGCTTATAGCCGCGAAAGTTTACAAGGAATGATGGGAAGGTTTCATAGCTGTTGTTTACTCTTTCTGCCTTATCTCCTCTGGAATCTCTTGATCAGCCATGCTGCTTTGATGCCCACACTTCGTGGTCGAAGGGTAATGATGGGGAAACATTGAACATAACAATTTTTTGTCTATTTTGAGGCGTGCTTCTTTAAGTTATCTATTGCCCATTCGTGCAGGTGCTTAAGCAATAAACAAGGAAGTGTAAGTATGATTCAGATCTTTCATATGATTGCTTTAGAAAATCATTAACATGATTATTTTTTGTTTGTTTCGCTTCTGTGTGCTTGTGCTGTTCCAGGATGCTCGATATGAAAGTCTCTTTAAAGAAATAGCTAAAGTCACAGTGTTTGGGTTTCATTTCCGCATTGATTCCAACTTACTGCACGGTTGATTGGAGTTAGCTCCTTAGAGGAAATTTTTTGAATGTTTTCATTGCTGAGTTAGTTTCCAAGAAAAGCTTTCGAATGCTTGCAGTGGTTGATTGATTGTGCGTCTGCAAGTGATTATCATTAGCACTTCCATTGCTCATCAGTTTGCGTTGCGTGTCAGGATATTGGGAAGAACCTGCTGATTGTTCATCGTCTCCTGTCTCTGGTACAAACCTTCGGCACACTTACTTGTGTGGTTGTTTCACAAAGTCTCAGAAACTATCGAGATATTGTGAGTTTGCATTCTTTGCACTGGATTGCCAGCTGATCTGCCCACGCAAGGGTAGCTCTCGGTCATCCAAGAAGTGTCTTGCGTATTCTTAACATATTGTTCAGTGATTGTTTGATAGTTGGTTGCTCCTGTTGTTGAAGTGATTTCAAAAGCTCATAATGAATTTGCTGCTTTTTTCTGCGCTAGTAATCTGCACCGGTGAGTGGACGTAACATTCAGTACTTCACTAGTCATTGCATTGCGATATTCAAGGTGGATTTAAGGCAGAAGTTGACAGAGGAAACTGTGCTGATTTCTATGTCGCATCGATCTTGAAATCTTGTCGTCCTAACCTACATATCTTCGCTTGTGGTGTTTTGCTTCTAGTCATATTACGTTTGAGCAATTTCATGCGGTCCATTTCCTTCTTTGATTGTTCTTCTTCAACCGTTGAGGCGAAGATGAGCATAAGGAGTGGGATATATTTCCTATTGTAAAGTTGGCAGGCATAAATTCTGCTTCCAGCATGAAGTAGAACTCTTTTCTCGTTAAAACTTTGTTCATCCTTGGACTGACGACTGACGACCTCTGAAGGAATTTCCTTCCAGAAGCATTTTTTCAAGAACGGTTTGTTGTTAATAATTCTTTTGATACTTCACTTACATCCTTAGATTTTGGACCAGTATAGACCTTGCCACGAGTTTGCGAGTACACCAAGCGCACGACTTGTGTACTATTAGGTGGTGAACTTTCATAATTTTTTTTTTCGTTGATCCGCTAGTTTTTGCCTTCTTGGTTCCTCTCCTTTTTTATTATTTTTCGGTATTACGTGGAATATCATTGAACTTTGAATATAATGCTATACTCTTATCGATAATGTCCCTCGTCTACTCCTCTCGGACTATTTTGCCAGATTGGTTCTTTTTATTTTTTTTTTCAATTCATTATATATGTAGGATTTTTTGGTCTTACAACTTTTTTACGAAATCCTTCCAAACCAAATTTTTTGTTTTTTATTACATCGCCATTTTATTGGCAAAGGCTATTACGAAATTTATATTGATGGCTAATCTGTCTATTACAAGATTTATAGATTGTAGCTGTCGAGTTGAGAAAACTGATATTAGACTTAAAAATTATAATATTTGGAATTGCTTTCCTCTTTTGCTGTTTTTAGTGTGATATAGAGTTCCATCATTTCCATGCTTCTTGTCCTCCACTTATTTGGGCCGGTCTTTGAAGGCTAATCTGAAAAATGTGACCCGAGCAGGAAAAATTGCAATTACTTGGAATTCTATTAGCCATACTGTCAATGATATCATAATATAAGGCGCATTTCAAAAGTTTTACATCATACATGGTTCGTTCGTTCTCAGTTACCTCTATTAACAAAGGCAAGTCTGTTTTGGGGTGCTATAACTCGAGTTGCATTTTTTGTGCTATTAGCAACTGTGTATTACTCCACTACATTAAGGTTTCGCTGTTTTGCCCGATACTTCTGGCTTTTAACTCGAGATTAAGAAAATCTGGTTAGAAAGGATCTCACCCTTATCGTTTCTTGCATTTTATCTGACATTCCTGTTTTCAGAGAAGCATTTATTCTGCTTTCTAGTGTTCTTTCGTGAAGCTCCCTGTCTATCTGTAATTAGCGACATCAATATTATTCATACGAGGAACCTTCCTCCTTTCATAATTAGTATATTCATGTCAGCTGTGAATTTTGTGCTAAATAACTGTGACTTGAGATTGAAAGAGCAATTTAATATGCATCTAATGAAGATTCGCCACTGCTAATGCAAATTGAATCTCGGATTTCAGAGTTTTGCGCAAGGGATTTCCTCGAGATTTACTGTGATAAGCGAAAATTAGTGGCTACATCAAGAGATGATTGTAAGGCAGTGATAGACTAATGGATGTTGTTTAGAAAGTTTCCATAAAGAAATATCGTCAGTTTTCAATCGAGGTCTTGATTCAAAAAGCAGAGTTGGTTTTGCTCTTGGATTTGTCTAGGAACAGTGCTTCAATTCGGTGCATACATTTTTATTCGCCGTCCATTACCGAGCTGTCGGGGATGTGGTGAAATGTAAAAAAAATTGTTTTCATCGTCGAGGGCTGGATGACTGACAAGGGTAATGAATAAATTACGCACTCACGCGCTCGGATTAGGGTGGCCAATTACATGCAAAGCAAATGGGCTGCTATTGTGAGGGAGTTGAATGATAGAATCTTCCTCTCCCTGTTTTGCGACCCGCCTTTTCGCTTATGGTGTGGTTGAAATAAGAGGGGACAAAGGGCTGCTAGGCTCAATTTCATCGCATACGCGTATCCTTTTACGTTGCGATCTTCGCTTCGCATTTGTAATGCATGCCGTGTTTGCATTATAGAGAACACTTCAATTTTGTTATTTGTTAACTTCTATCGTATTATTTTATTTGNTCCACTTTGACCACAGAGATCACATTGAGAACTACCTGATGATGGCTTGTATATCCTGAAAACATGCTGGGTCCTGAACAAGTTTTGTCTTCCTATAAGGCCACTAGTTTTGCAATCGGTGAGGTTGAGTAGGTACTAATGAACACTTTCAGATTTCAATTCCAATAATAGGAAACGCTGTTGATCTGCGTCATCTAAATGAAGAGTGAGATGAGTTCCTATAGGAAATGAACAGTTCTTTCCAAGGCTTCATAGAAATTATTTTTTTCTAGTCTATTTCATGTCAACATATGCTGAAATTAAGTCAGGGAGAGGGGAGAGGGGGGAAGTTCGGGATTGTGGGATGATTTTGCACCTCATAACTGAACTATCCATGCTTTAGAAGTGAGGACCAGCATAAGTGACTTCAAGCACTGTATAGTCCCGTCAAGCCGTAGAGTTTCCCACACTAGTTTGTAAACTGGATCGAAGTCTGGTCACGTTCTTCAGTTCCTAGGGTTTACTTTTATCAGGGTTTATCAGGTTTACCTGGTTAGTAAGAAGGCTGACGAAGGCTTGAATCGAGGAGAGAACCATTTTAATTG